ACTATGTTGTCTAGGCTGGACATGAACTCACTGTGTAACTGAGGCTGGCCTCAAACACCTGATCCTCCTGCCTCAGCTTCCTGAGTGTTGGGATTGCAAGTGTATGCCATCACACCTGGCTCCCAGCTCTTTTTAATGTGTTTTATTTTGAGGCCAGTTCTTCCTGTTACCTGGCAGACTTAAAAAAATTGAGACCCTCTTGTCTCAGCCTCCCTAGTAGCTGGGAATACAGGTATGTGCAACTGCCTGGGCTTTTTTTTTTTTTTTAATTCCTTATTACTATATATTTGTGATACATAGTAATTACATTCACAGAGGCGGGATTTGTTCTTTTGGAGAGCCTCCTGGAACCCAAGTGATAGCCTAGCGCCCCTGATAGTAGTAATCTCAAATTTGGTTAAAGCCTGCGTTACTAGGGCTGCTTTGCCTGTAAACCTGAGCAAGTGTTTGATTGTTCGTTTTGTGTTCTTTGAAGGGGAAAGAGCTAGAGTTTACAATTGTTTATTTCCTTGCTCAGTGCTTGGGGCACAGCCGGAGGCCTGGCCTGAGCCAAGCTGGCACTGCGGTCATGGTCAGGGAGCTCACAGCAGCCTGGTGGCCCTAAGGTGCGGGGATAGTCTGCCTGGCTCAGCCCTCTTCTGAGTCCCCCACCCCGCCCCTGGGCGTCACTCCTCCAGCCTGTTCTCGGCTGCTCTGGGGAAGTTGGGGGAGGCCAGGCTGTGGGGATTTAGCTCAGTGCTAGAGCCCTAGGTTCAGTTCCCAGCAGCAAAAAGGTCACAGCCACAAAGGTGTCCCGGAGCCTGTCCCAGAGAGGGGACAGCCCTTTCTGTCCTGATTTCTCAGTGCGCTCCCCGCCTCTGGAACTGGGGATCAAACCTAGGGGCACTGTACTGCTGAGCTACGTCCCCAGCCCTCTTTCATTTTTTATTTTGAGACACGGTCTTACTAAGGTATCCAGGTGGGGCTTGAATTTGTGATCCTCCTGCCTCAGCCTCCTGCAATGGTGGGATTACAGGTGTGGACCTCTGTGCTTCTTATGAATGTTTTCTGCATTGCAGTCACTTTTTTTGACCCCGTCCCAGCTTCTGGAGTATGTGCCTGTAGGCTCCTGGGCCTATAAAGCCCTTGGGATGTGTGGTCTCTTAGACATTTTTGTTGGACCAGCGTTTATCACGTTAAAGCATCTTAAATTTTGTCCACCAAAAAGTTCAAGGAAATTGTCTCATAAAAAAGTACAGTAAGCTGAGCATGTACACCTGTAATCCCAGCACCTGCGAGGTGGAGGCAGGAGAATCACGGTGAGTTTGCGGCCAGCCTGGGCTACGTAGTGAGACCCTGTCTCAAAATAAAGAAGTACAATGCATTGAGCACTCAGTGGGTGATGCTGCTCGCTTTTAGTTTCGAACTACTGAGGAGCCTTTGACCAACCTTCTGTAAAAGGGGACAAGAACGTGGTATTTGGCCCAATTCTTTTCTTCAGTCCCATGGCTGTACAGGAAAAGGTACAGGTGATATTTAAAAGTTTACCTGAGTTCATTTGAAAGATAGACTGTTTTTGCTGTGGCCAGGGTCTAAGGAGGCCTGGCTGTTAGCAGGGATTTGGTCTGAGAATGATACAAAGTTTAACGTGAATTTGGAAGAAACTTTTGTTTAAATAGCAGAAATGTGTGTGTGGGTGTTTTTATTTCAGCTGGGGACCAAACCCAGGCCTCATGCAGGCCAGGCCAGCACTCTACCACTGAGCTACACCCCTGTATTAACAGCTTGTTCGGGCAGAAGGAAAACCGGGAAACACACAGTTCTAGCCTGAGTTCTCTCCTTCAGCATAAGAATGGCGTCCGCAGGTGATTGCATCATATTTCATAATCAGCAGCTGAACTCTTTCTGTGGAGCCCAGGACTAGGCATCCAGGCAGCAAGGTCTGTTTTTAAATCCAAGCAGTTAAACCTAAGCGGGGACCCCAGGTCTGGGTTCTCTGTCACTTTATTCTTCCTCTGCACACCCAGTCCTTCCTTCCTGTCACAGAAATGAACCCCACTCCCCCAGCGGAGAAGTTGACACTGCCCCCTGAGCAGCCCACCTGTCACAGGGGTGTGGTGTTAGTATGTCACAGCTGATGCCTCTGTCTGAAGCAGGGTGGTTTGTCACCTGGGTGACTCACCCAGGGCTTGGCAGCGCAGACTGAATCCCTGCATTTATCAAGGCGCGGGTCTCCCACCTGGCCACACTTTGCTCTGTTTGTAGTACATTAAGTGGGCGTCAATCAAGACTCAGGTGAGGGCTTCCAGGTCATCTTTTGCTTGTATTACTTTATATATCACCTGATTATTGTGGCGTGAAGCAGTTCTTAAAATACACAGCTGCTGCATGACAGCGCGAACCCTAGGTGTTTGCCCTGACTGACGTGTCCTTGCGCATGGGAGCAGGGAACCTCTGAATTCCTACACCAGCTCACTTGTTTGAGAATCAGAATGTGTTTGTTTGGTGTCTGAGTTTGACCATTTGAATTTCTCTGTAGCAAAGCAAAGCAAGTTGTGACAAAATTGTGTCCAGAGATTAGGGGTCTGCAGTTTTTATTTTGTATCGTTTTTAGGTTGAGGAATGCTGCTCTTTTTAACCCAGAGGCGGGTGTGTCTGATGTTGCCTTAGGAAGTTGGGACATTTGGGATGTGTGTGTGTGTGTGTGTACATGGTGGAATCAGTGATAAAAAGTTGCCAATTGTTTATGCAGCTGACACAATTCAAAAAGGGCTTACAGAACTTCCCAGGAGGGGCCACATGACAGAAAAGCATTTGTAAAAATTGCTCTACATGAAATTTCTCAGGTGGGGGTGAGTCCTCAATCATGAATGGGAATTACATTGATTCTCCTTTTTCATAGGAAGTACAATATGAAACACTAAAGTATGTTGCTGCAAGTGGTAAAGTTACGTTTGGTGAAACCTTTTCTTTTTGTAGAACTGGTGACAGGGCCTTTGGATTAAACTGCATATCCACCCCTTTTTTATTGTTTTCTTTTGAGCTAGGGTCTCACTAAGCTGCCCAGGATGTGCTGGAATTTTGGATCCTCCTGCCTCAGCCTACCCAGCCACTGGAATTAAGTTAAGGTGTGCGTCACCCCGCCCAACTTTGGTGGAACTTTTATTTCCCTTGTGTGTAGATATATATATTGGGATGTGTAATAAAAACTCAAGTTACTGCTTCTTCAGAGTCCTGGTGTCTCATGGTGCACTTTGACCCTTGGAAAAAGAACACGGAAAAAGCCTCTGTGACTATTTGGTTTGAGAGGATTCAACCATTTTTGTGGTCCAGATGTTCTATGAACCTTGTATTTTCCCTGTTGAAACTTTTCGCTGTGTTTAACTTCTGCAAAGCCCACGCCTTTCAGGTTAGACAGTCCCCTGTCTTGGCGGGAAGGGTGCCGGTTTAGGGCCAGATCGCGCGCGCGGGCCGGGCCGAGGGTGGGCATCGCGCCGGGCAGGGCCTTGAGGCCCAGGTTCCCGGGCAGGAACTCCCGCATGGCGACCCCCGGCGGCGGCCCCCAGCCC